ACAGGGACCTCACCTTGAGTGCTTTCAAGAGTATTGTCATGCTTGGTTATTACCCTCTAAGAACAGGATGGCCTATCCCATGTGGGCATACCCTACCCTAGGCAAGAAATCCTTCCTTGTGCTTAATTCTCGGGCCAGCTAACACCTTCCCTAGGGCGAGTAATTCTTTGGAGGACTGTGATGATTCTTTCATGCTAAAAATCCTTAGACAGTACCCAGAAGGTAGGGTGACCTCCACGGGGGCAAAGGATTATATCCTTGATTCTGGCCCAAGTAGAAGTCCCTTTGCCCCTAGGAAATCTGCTGAGTCCCTGTCCAACTCATCTTTGCAAACCCAAAGGCAATTTGGGAACCCTTAAGTCAGGACAATAGGTATTTGTGACGTTTGCACAACTTTTGAGGGTCTCTCACATGTTCTGGAGATTAGGAAAGAATCTTTCAGTATGACCAGATAGAAGAACATAGGACTGTTTCCCTGACTGAAGTTCCACTACTGCATCTCCATGGTCCTTCCTGCCAGGGCATCTACTTGTCTTCCGCTGCAGAACTGTCTTGTACTTGAATTATGAATGAAAGTTACTGTGCCCTACAGGCCACTATAGATCAGAGTGAGGTGGGAAACTGATGAGCAGGTGAGTCTTAAGGTGAGAGGGCTCAGGAGGAGCACCGGATAGGCCAGGAGGAAAGCTGTCCTGGGCAATGAGGAATGAAGGGGCCCGTGGAGGGGATCAGAGAGCACGAACCTGCTTAGAAATGCTCTGCACAGGGCCAGGCGCATACAGGGCAACTGGGGCACCTGTAGAACTGATCAAAAGGGACTTGATAACCTGGTACAGCATTGATAGTGTCCTCAATGTGCAGTGTAAAGTATTCAAACACTGTGCCTCCCCCAGAAAAGGTCTTGCCCATGACCAGCTCCTGAAGGATCACCTTTGAGTCTGTGAAATGTCCCAGGTAGTTTATGTAAACATGCCTTCTGGTGGGAGTCTTGGGCCAAGCAATATTAATTTAACTCACAGAGGGACTGGGAGTTGTTCCCAGTTCAGCTATTTGGGAACTCCATGCCTGTGTACCTGGCTTCAATAAAATCTCCAGATACTGAAGCTCAGGAATTTTCCTGATTTATGATATGTGTTGTCACACATTGTCACTGAGTGCTCAATGTACTATCTCATGTAGAGAGATACAATCCCATGTAGAGAGAGAACTGGAAATTCAACATCTGAGCAATCTTGAGCGCTTTGCTAGGTGCCTTTTACTGTTGATGAACTTTATTTGTCTTCTTTTGCTGTACTAAATAGTGCGTCCATTGTTCTGAGTTTGGTGGTCTCGCTACTATAGCATTAAAGCATTAAGCCCAAAGGTGCTCGTTAAACCCCAGAAGAGAAATCACAATAAAGTGTCAATAAAAACAGATCTCTGCTCCTTATCTGGGCTAAAAGTCTTCATCATCTGACTTAGGATCTTGGAAGAAAATCTACAAACAACAGCATGACAAGTCTGATGGGTGTGTAGCCATATTTTGGTCAACAATATAGAAAATATTGCATGTAAAGCTTTCCAGAGTATGGGCTCTGCCCTTCGCACATGGCCCTCTTGATGTCTTCCTCAAGTCCTTTGAGTGTTGTGTTAGAGTTTCTAGGCTCAGACTAGTGTGTGCCCTCCACTCTCGGAATTCTTCAGTGATGAGGATTGCTGCAGGGACCAGTCGTGTCTTGAGCAGAGGTCGAAGCCCCCTGTGAGTTTGGGAGAGCCTGGCATTACTATATTAACTACGAGGCCTCTACCTTCAATCCCTCTCACAGATTCTAGGAGAGAAAAGTGCTACTTCAGAGCAAAACAAAACAAAACAAGGAACACTTAAGAGTTTATGGATGGTCTCACGGGAGCCACGGTGACTTCTGCAAACAGAGCCAAGCTGGCTGGATAGCCGGAGGGTAAGGGACGCCCGGAGTGGCTACCAGGTCCTCATACAGACTTGCAGACATTCTCAAGGCATTTCTGCTTCAAGGCTGAAAGACCAAGAAGGCACTGAGGTGGGAACAGTACAGAGACAGAAATTAAACTCTGACAGCACCAGTGGCATGTCAGTGTCTTCGGAGGGCAAGCGGGCAGGTGCACAGGATGGAGACTCAGCTGGAGTGAGCCGGAGCGGGCAGAGCTCCGCCAGACTTCCTTGCTAGTCAGTAACACACTAGAGAAAGGAGCAGCTGTAGTTTCCACCCAGTCCGATGCTCCTGTCCCAATCCTCAGCCATATCTAACTTGTCTCCCAGACTGCATGATGCTGATTTCAGTTCAGTAATATACTGCTCACGAAACATAACGTGTTGTGTGTGTGTGGGGGGGTTAACATGGAAGGACAGAAGACTTACTAGATCATGAGGTCCCCTCTCCCCACACCAAGAAAAGAGATCCTTCTCCCTGACTTGTGTCCTCCATCTCCCAATGCCTGCCCCCAGCAGAAGGAAGCTGTTGGTAGAAGAATAACAGAAGAAGTTGAAGGGTAGATTTTTCTCTAAGACACAAAGGACCCATAATTGAGGGAGAAGAAAGAAGCGAAGGAGAGGGATGCCAGAGAAGAAGAGGACATGTGTGCAAACAAAGAAGAGCCAGAGCTTGATTTTAAGAGACGCCGTGGGATAGAGCTTGTGATGAGAGAGACAACGAAGGACGAAAGGAACAGGAATAAAGTCTATGAAGTGTAGGCCTGGGTGCGGAAGATCCCATCTGATCTAAGAGCTGCAGGAAGGATTTGGTGGCTGTGTTTTTCTTTTTGTTGCTGTTGTTTGTTTAAGGTAATACATTGTCAAGATAGGGCCCCCGTACCATCCATCCAGTACATATGTAGGTCACATTAAGAAGGGATTTTTGAAAGAATTCAATATAGCTCCATGATTTCTAGGAGGCCAGAGCCCCTAATTATGATTCTAAATAATAACTTAAACTTTTTTTTTGTTTAGACCTAATGGTGACTGGAGGAGCTCAGTACTCCAGTGGCCCCTGCTAAAGCCAGACCTCCTCTCATGGTCCATCAGCAGAACAGACCATTGGCTTGGGGACCAGCAGATCAGCCAACAGAGATGATATCAGGTGTTTCTGCTGGTGATAAGGCTTTTCTAGCCTCAGGACTAGGATACAGGGGCCATAAGCCCTTTCTAGGACTTCACGCTTCCCCTGTCCCTTGAATTCATTGCGTACATTTTCTCTTGTTTTGTAATTTAAGGGTTTACATTGAGTTTATCTTTGATTGTATTATATCTTTTTAACTTTCCTGATGACTCAGTTCTCACAATATGTAAGAGTGTATAGTTGAGTTGATGCTGGGTATTTATACCCTATTGCAAGCATCAAGTGAGTGGCTGGAGAATCCGAACTGGCCTAGACTTCTTCCGTTTTGTCCTGGTGGTGATTAGCTGAGCTTCTGGCCCCTGGTAATGCCACACACCCTTTCAGAGTCCCACGATCTTCTGTAGGACACATTCACTGCGAAGCTACAGCATCGCCAAGTTTGGTACTTACTGTGTGAGTGCGAGACTCTCTTCACCCTCCCACAGATCAACGTTGCATTCTTTAGAAACCAAGAGTAGAATTCTAGACAGTACCTAAAGGTTCAAATCAGAGCCAGAAACAGTCACTGTCCTGTGTTGACACCGAGAAGACAGAGAACCAGAAGAGTAATGACATGCGAGGTGTGGGGCTGTACACCTGTAATCTCAGCAGAACTCAGCTCAGCTCTGTTCATCTCAAGGCAGCTCAGCTCCATTCAGTTTAACTCATCAGCTCAATTCAGCCCAGCCCATCTCAGCTCCATTCAGTCATTCCAACTCAATTCAACTCAGCATAGCTCAAACCAACTAACTTCCGTTCAGCTCAATTCAACCCAACTCAACTCAGCACCGTTCAACCCAGCTCAGCTCAGCTCAGTTCTTCTCAGCTCAACTCGATCCAGTTCAGTTGTTCAAGCTCAACTCAGCACAATTCAGCCCAACTCAGCTCAGCCAATCATTCCAGCTCGACTTGACTCAACTCACCCCTCCACTCATACAGAATCTAGTGAGCACAGCTCAGTTTATCTGAGATCCATTCAACTCAGCTCCATTCACCTGACTCAATGCAACATCACTCAATTAATGCCAGACCAACTCAACACAGTTCAACTCAGCTCAGCTTCATTCATCCAAACTAACCTCAAGAGTGCAATAAACATCCTGGCCATGCAATGACAATTTAGTAGAGGATTCGCTTGAAAATTCGTTCCTTGCACTATTTCCCATAACCTGTCTGTAAATTACTTGATGTCTGACTATCTCATTGCTGGCAGAATAAGAAGACTATACTAGGTGCATCCCCTATAATAACCCTACCTATTTGGCAAATAGAGATAAGGGGAATCAAAGCTTAAGGATCACACAGCTGAAAATTATAGAGACCCGGTCTCAACACACAATCCATATGTGGTGGTGCATATCTACAATACCACTTATTGAAGGATCCTCATCTGGAGCTTGCTTGCCTTGGAAAAAGATGAGACTCCGAAATAGAATCCAAAAGCACAAAGGGTTAGTCATGCTCCAGTGATAGAGTGTCTGCCTCTTATGCACAAGCCCTGCATTCAAACCCTAGTACTGCCAAAACAATTTTTCTTTTAAACAAAAGCCTATGAATATTGGGTATGGAAAGGCCCTGCCGGCCCAACTGACCTCATGGTCTCTGAGCTGGAATCCCTCATCTGGCTCACGCAGAGGCATTGCTGGAAGTAGCGGCACAGCTCCATCAAGCACGGGTTAAGCTTCCTGATGACCGTGGGAAGAGGAGCAGCTGTCATGGATCCCTCTTTGAGGGGCAACCGAGGACACCCTGGAAGATGCAATCTCAGGCAAGTCAAATCAAGCCATTCGCTGACCTCTTTCCCTTTCTTTAGTCCTAGGCCAGGTGAATATGGTTTGGTTGAGACAGACAGGACACACAGTGGTAAGCATCAGGAGACTAGGTGATGATCAAGCTCCTAGAGAGCAGAAATGGGTTGGCTTAGACAAGGATCTAGAACACTGCAGGGAAATGAATCATGTTGGGACAACCTGGTGTGGCTTTCAGAGTCCCTGATGACTTGGTTTCCTGCAGGAAGACCTCAAGGGGGGGCACCAGATGCTCATGCCTGTAATCCTAGCTACTCAGGAGACTGAAATCTGAGCACTGTGGTTCAAAGCCATCCTGAACAGGGAAGTTTGTGAGACTCTTATCTCCAATTAAGCAGTAAACAGAAGTGGAACTGGCTCAAGTGGTAGAGTAACAGCCTTGCGCAAAAAGGCTAAAGGAAATGCCCAGGCTCTGAGTTCAACCCCCAGTACCAGCAAAAATGGAAGAAAAAATTCACTAACAGGATCACTTGAGATTTCCTTTGACTGGATCTGTTATCCCCTGTGCCTCACAAATCTCCATTGATCCAGTGTTGGCATTTTTCTGGTATGGCATCTTTGAAACATTAACAGGCACTCACCATATATTTTAAAGAATTTATTTAGGTTTTCAAAAAGTTTAATTAACAATGTATTTATAAAGTAAAAAAGAACCCATAACGTTAAGAAAGATTTTACAAAAATATATAGAAAGGAGCAGGCATTAATGGCTCATGCCTATAATCCTAGCTACTCAGGAGGTTGACATTTGAGGATCATGAGTAGGAGCCAGCTTGGGCAGAAAGAATCCCTGAAACTCTTATCTACAATTAATCATCCCCCCCCCCCCCAAAACTGGAAGTGAATCAGTGGCTCAAGTAGTATGTATATTTCTCTCACTTTTTCCTGAGTTAACTATAACATTCAGCCCTATAGACCAATATCCACACCCATGTGTCAGGACTTTATTCACTGACACTCAAGCACTTCAGTAAGATCTTTACATATCTTATTTAATCCCCATAGGATCTTGTGAGGCAGATATTGTCAGCTCGTTTCTAGAATGTGATCTGACAGCCACCTCTCTTCACCACCACTGTGTTTCTGTGTAACTCCTGCTAGAGAGGGCGTATGATCTCCTTAGGACTCACCCTCATGTCTTTGCTTCTGAAAGGCCCCTTCACCATTCACATGGGCTGTGATGGTTGACGCAGACATTGAATGTCACCAGACAGTGACTGTGCAGACTCCAGCAATGTAATAATGTGCTAATGTGCTAATGCCAGGTAAACATGTGACTGAATGGCCCGGAACACTTGGGGGGGGGGAGGGGGGCTAGAAAAGCTAGAAGTGGGAGTGGGAGAGGGAAATCTCTTTGTATGGAACTGTCATAACAGAATAAAAGAGACTAAGAGCTCTAAAAGCTGGGGGAAATGCAGCAATCCTCCAAAGAAGATACAAAAATGACCTCATCTCTGAAATTCTGGACAACAGCCACAAGCCCAGGAATGAGCTTTCCCGCAGATGCACAAGAATGGGGTATGCAGGGATGTGTGTGTGTGTGTGTGTGTGTGTGTGTGTGTGTGTGTGTGTACAGGGATGGGGCAGGTAGGGGTTTTTGAAAACAGCCACAGGAAACCACAAGTAAAGAGAGAGGCTTGGGTTTTGGAGTCCTCTTTCCTTCCTTTCCCCCCTCTCACTGCCTACAACCATGCGTGTCCTGAGAGAAACTTCCATTTGCGTAGTCCCCAGCACCCTATATAGATGCTGAGCGTTATTACACAGAGCCTTATAATCCCACATCATCTTTATGAACATCACTGTATGTAATACAAAAGTACAGAGAAATGACAACAGAGACATTTCTAGCCCTCACAACCACTGTGATATGCCTTGCTTTAGGTTGAGGAGACTGGAACCCTTTTGAATGTCCAGAAACCACCTCACAGCAAGGACTGAACTGGGATCTGCACCCCAGCAGTCGGAGTCTCGTATTGTCAAGCAAACCTCTCCTTATTAGCTCATGAAGCGTCCTTCACAATAAATACAAGAAGAGCAGTGAAATGCTGCTACTCACTTGATACACGGTGGGGTGCAGGAATCAAAGCTGCGTCTTCTCCAGGGGTGAGTGGCCATCTTGCAGGGACATCATCTACAAAGGACAAGAACAGAATTTAAAACAAAACTTCAGAATGAAATGGCATTGGGTTGTACGCAGAACTGGAGAATCAGAAAAACCTTAAGGATAAAGTGTGCTTAAACATGGTGTCTTGTACATCTCATTGTTACAATGGGTCAGCCTGTACCCTTATGTCAGCATTTTATTATTTCCCTTCCCCTCCCCAGATTAGAAAAATATATATACAAGATGCAGGACACCGGAATCAAATACAGTGACAACAGGGGTTATACCATGGGGGAAGAACATACAAAGAAACAAAAAAAAATCACATGATACATTATAAGTACATTAAAAAGAACAGCAAGAAAGATAAAATCTCTTGGTGGGGAAGAGAGATGTTGGGGAGGTGTGGAGGAAAGGGGTGGTAGGGGAGAAACATAGGATGGGGTAACAATGCTCAATAGGAAATGCACTCATTACTTCGCTCATGTAACTGTAACCCCTCTGTAAGTATCTTTACAATAATAAATATGTATATATTAAAAATAAAAATAAAAAGACTGCTTGAATTGGTAAGGGACTTGTAGCCAAGTGGAAATGGTTTATCAAAGATCGCAGGCCGGGTTAGCACCACAGTAAAGTTCACAAACCAGTTCTGTATCTCTCCTTGTAAAAACCAGCAAAATGTAAAAGCTGGCTTCCTCCCTGTACCAGAGCCCATGATGCAGGTGCACCTCATCTCGCCCTATCTTTGCTTTATCCTATGGTGTTGGATTTCTTTCTCCAGTGGTGCCATCTTACCCATCTGGGGATCTCTCGGGGCTGGTGCCTTGGTTGGACTTGGAGTCCGTGTACCAGGGGTGGCTGATCCTGAGAGGATGGGAGAGAGACATGAGTGGTTATTTCTTTCAGTGGGTCCCCACCTAGAGAAGATGCCCCCTGCCACCCGGCCTGCCCTGTCCAGACATTGTTTACTCTTTAGCCAAACCAGCAATGAAGAGTGTTGATTAGGCCGAGATAAGGGGAAATAGATCTCACAATGGAGGTGTTTCAGCTGTAGGCGAGGATGCTAGGTGAGGCTCAGAGGGACAGCTATCAAACTGCTCCCCACATATCACGCTCCTCTGCCTGGAGTGTCGTAGCGTGTCCTTTATCAGTGCTGCCTCTCTGTGAAGCTGTGTGAGTGCGGAGGTGAGCACTGGGCCCATCCACACGGACCAGTGCGTGCAGGAGGTCCGTGACAATAGGGCACTCCTGTTGTTTTCTTAGCGAGGTAGCTTTTCCTTTGCGTTTCTCTTGGAGCATTGCGTTGTATGCCCCCAACTCTGTCGGTGAATGCATGTTGCCTAGATGTGTTTCTATGTAATTCTCACAAAGGGACCAGTCTAAGGGACACAAGTTCAGAGTTGCTTGTCTTTGAGGTCCATTTGCAGTTAGTCTGGAGGACTTTAGAGGCCTGAGGTGAGGGACCCAGGGCTTGAATCTCACAGCTGGCCACAAGGTGCCACCGTGGGTTGGGGAGGGCAGGCAAGCAGACTGGCCCTGAGTTGCATGAGGACAGCCATGGCACAGACATCACTGAAGCTAACTATGACAGCAACTCTGAAAACACGCATTTCAGAGGTGAGCAAATGGGATTCAGGGAGGTGCAGGACATGGCTATGTGACTGAAAGGATATGGCCGAGATTCCAACTCAGCTGGGTCCCAAATAGCTTGCAGCTCACAGCCTGAGGCCTCCACTGTCCTGAGGACCCGACCAAAGCACTTTAGCTTTCATTTTCCCCTGCGTTAGTATAGATACTCAAGCCTGGGAAACTTGTGCCAGGTGTTCATATAGATAAAGCCAATAAAATACCCTTCCAAGGCCTGATTGTCCAACTGAGATTTTTGAGTTCAAGATGTTGCATTTATGTCTATCAAAATCCATTTAGTCCTCCCAATAATATTCCCTAAGAAATTGTTAAGAATTTTTTTTGGTGTTGTTGTTGATCATGGGGCTTGAACTCTGGGCCTGAGCACTGTCCCTCAGCTCTTCAGCTCAAGGCTAGCGTTATACCACTAGAGCTACAGTGCCACTTCCAGTTTTCTGGTGGTTTATTGGAGATAAGAGTTTCATGGACTTTCCTGCCCAGGCTGGCTTTGAACCACAATCCTCAGATCTAAGCCTCCTAAGTAGCTAGGATTACAGGTGTGAGCCACTGGCACCGGCCTGTTAAGAATTCTTAATGAATGATATACATGTGTACATATGTATGTATAAATGTATGTGTGTATATAAAAATATCAATAATGATTAATAGCAACAATAAAACATACATATCAACACATGCCCAGAATAGCCATAATGATTAATAGTAATCATAATACATATTAACACTATACCTGAAGACAGTTTGGGTCTGGAATAAACTAGGTTGATGTCCACTGGTCCCTTGTTTAACAGTGATATGAATGAAAGAAAACTTGGAAAGTGATTGTACATAAGAGAAGAGGAGGTGAGGGATTCCTATGAGGAAGAATCATTCATTCATTCATTTATTCACAGAGGAGACGAAAAGGAGGTGGGATAAAAAGAAGACTTTATGATGGTTAATGATGGGTTAATTTTGTTTCTCACTCATGTACTACTAGTCTTTTTGTCTATTGGTTGTTTCAAAATCTAGAAAGGCATTCAAACAGGAGGACTGGGGTAAATGTCCCCTCTTACCTGAATCTGGACTGGGCCGAGCCACTTTGCTGGGCACGGCCCATATCTCAGCAAAATCGATGGCCTCCTGGGCCTCTGGGGGGGATGTGAATGTGGGGGTGCGGGTTTTCCAGGGAGGACCTCCAGGTGTCTTCTCATTCGTGGTCTGAGCCCTGGACACTGATAATGCAGAAGCCCATGTCTGTCTGCTGGCTGTCACCCGTGGTGTTCTGGTCACCTTCCCTGAAGCTGTGTGTTCAAAGTGACAGCCATAAGGCTCTGATACGTTTGAGCACTTATTCTTATATTCTTATATAAAAATTGCAGATTCATAGAAATGGCATTCGTGGACCAACAGAACACATATGTCTGCAGATAATTCATGGGTTTAAGCTTTATTCTGAACTAGAATAAATAGAGCAAGCTGCAATTTGCCTCTGTGTACCAGACATATCCTCCAAACCCCTTGAACACTAAACCAGTTAGGAACTGTGCTCAGGGGCCAGTGGACCCTGCATCAAATTTAAGTAATGCTTTGTAATCATATGACATAATGGGAGGATTGTAGAGATGGAGGTGCAGAGGCCTGGAGACATGAGCTGTGCCCCTTTACCACCTGTGAGGTGTTTTGTTGTTGCTGCTATTGTTTTGTTTTGTTTTCAAGCTGGTCCTGGGGCTTGAACTCAGGGCCTTATCCCTGCTGCCCCTGAGCTTCTGTGCTCAAGGCCAGCACTCTAACACTTGAGCCACAGCTCCACTACTGGCTTCTTGGTGGTGAACTGTAGATAAGAGCTTATGGACTTTCCTGCCTGGGCTGGTTTCAAATGGCGATCTTCAGATCTCAGCCTCCTGAGTAGCTAGGATTACAGGCCTGAGCCACCGGTGCCTGGCTCACCTTGTAAATTTTGAGTGACTTATATAATTACTTTTAGGCCTATCATTAAAGTAGGTGATACTAATAATTCCTTATTTATGCTAAATCTTCCTTAATTGGTTTTTAAGAAATTGTTTCTCACAGTAGAAAATTTTCCTCAAGTTCTGCAAAATTGATCCCAGTGGTGGTTTTAGTAGCTGTGAGTAAAAGTTGGGGACACAACTGTTTAAAACACTGATTTCTCCACTAAAACATGGTATTTAAATATCGTGTATTTAAATATTCCTTTATTAATTTCATTAAAGCTTGGTTGTCTTTCTTACCAAACTTTCCCATTTTGGTCACAACTACAGGTGTCTTATAACTTTTCTTGTCTCTAAAAATCACATCTATTTTCATATCACACAGTGAAGTTTTCTAATTCCATTTACTTATCATGTTGGCAGGGATCTCTCTTTTTTTGTATAGAAATTTAAAATGTTTTGTAGTTAATGAGGTTAATGTTATTCTTTCTACTCTGTCCTCATTGTTTCGTTGTCTGCTGAGTCTTGCTGATTCTTACCCACTTGAGCAAGTCATGTCTTCTCTTTTCTTCACTTTTTTTTCTGTCATTAGTAGGAATGCTACCCCTTGAGCCACAGCTCCACTTCTGGTTCTTAACTGGTTAGAGATGAGTCTCACAGACTTTCCTGTCCAGGATGGCTTTGAACTGTGATCCTCAGATCTCAGTCTTCTGAGTAGCTAGGATTATAAGTGTGAGCCACCAATACCTGGCAAGTCTTATCTTTTCTATGTTGAGTGGGAGATCCTCTCACTGGCTCTCCTCATACAATAGCTCTTTAAAGGCTGGCGGGTGACTCTGTTTCCTTGCCTATGTCTCTCACTTGATGATGATCTCAGGAGAGAAGGGAGACATTTACAGCTGCTTTCAACAGCTTTAGTAGCTGAAAGTAAATGTATGTTATAGTGAGTGAATCAATAAATTAATTGATGCTTAATGAAAGGAAAAAACCCCTCAGTTTTGTATTATTTCCAAGTAGGGAGTCACAGGTGTCTGTGAGTATTCAATGGGGGCAGCATGGCTGATCATGTGTGCTAGGTTGTGGGAACTGGAGGGACCCTTGGTAAGCCACTGGTAGCATCATCTCATGCCGGTGTGAATCCATGAACATGTTCACAATATGGTTAACCTCTTAACCTAACCATGCCATGAAATGTTGACTCCATCATTTCCTGCCACTTCTCAGGGGGATCACTAACTACTTTGTTGAAACAAAATTACCTTGTGCCACAGTGTATGAGGATTTGGAGAAATGAGCATGATCCAGGAGCAACCCTTGATCATATCCTTTCAATTTCTTTGAGTTTTAAACAGTTTTAAAGTAAAATGTCACAAACACAGATAAATGCTTGGAGTGCATTGTGCCCATGACATTTGCTGCTTGACCTACTGGAAGCTATACTGACTCATAGGCTTCGCCCCTGAGCATATCTCCCAGTGGTGGAGAGCAATAATAGCAAGAATTTTACTTATTTATTTGAGTTTAGGGTGATCTGAGGGGCTCAGTGAAGGAGGAGAAAACGTGGAGACTGCCTTACCAGAAGTTGAGTGGGTGTGAGAGGGATCCCTCTGTGTGGCTGTAGAAGGAATCAGCCTCGCCGTGTTCTCCTCAACCTCTCTCTCAGAAGGAGAACTTGTTTCTGCCCATAGGAAGGTCCTCGGAGCAGACTCCCGGTGTGAGCTCTGGGTCCAGTTGGGGGGGCTTGCTTCTGGTAGTGTCTGCTGGCTTTGGGTTGTTAGCCTGGAGGTCTCTGTGGCTTTTCTGGTAGCTGTACCTTCAGGGAGACAGTCAGGGACCGCTTTAGACTGTTTGATGCTATCGAGTCACCGGAAGATGATGGGAGAGCAAGTATACAAAAAGCTGAGATTTCAACTTTCCTCCAGACAGAACCAAATGTCACCAAAAGACAGGTTCCTTCTTGAATAACAAATGAAGCTAAAATGTCAATCTCACTAAAAGCTGCGTGATGAGTCACTGTCAGCAGAATGCGAAGGTGACAGACATAGAAGTGCCAGACATGTAATGTCAAGTGCAGCCAGAATCCTCTCTCTACTTCATAGTCCTCAGCCACCACCAGGCTCTGGATTGAGAATTGGGAGAGGTGATAGGCTTGCTCTATTGCTCTGTGGGAACCTCCAGGAATCAGTGGTAGAATTTACGGGATTGGCTGCTTGAGAGAAGAGTCACTGTACAGGCAGATTGGTAGATGTTTTCAAAGAAATCTATCCAGTGCCCCAGGAGAAGGAGGCTCATGTGTTAAATTGAATTCATGCCTTCCCTAGGGAAGGATTAAATGGAGGAGGATGAGAGCCTCTTACTAACCTATAGGCTTTCTTCCTCTGTCTTTTCTAGGTTTCCATTCCCATTTGTCCCTTTGACAGACAACTGTGGGTAGGGTCCAATCGATGCACTGGCAGGAGATGGCTCTGCAGCCTTCTTCCCTCCCATAGGTCTCCCATCTAGACCTTTTACACTACCTACCATCACTAGCCTGAGCCTGGCTCCCAGGCTGGTTAGACTTGGGGCTAAGAGCATCCTGATCTATCAACTAAAACAGGGTCCAAGTTTCAAATACCCATGAAAGCTGGATAATAAATACAAGCAATAATGCGTGAGTCAGGAGCCAGTGGGAAGTACAGAGCAAGGTATTTGTGCTAATGTGAGAACAGAAACAGAAGCTGCTTTTCCAGAAGGAGAAAGGATCTGGAGTGCCCAGATCATCTTTTGAAGAGACTGTAGAAATATATGCACACACACATGTACATATACATATATATAAAACTACATATGTATGAATATATTAATATATATTTAAATATGTATCTGTAAGGTTTAAATATTTATATGTAAGTTATATTTATATATATTTAAAATATTTTATATATTTATGGTTATACACATGTGTATTTAAAATATTGAAATTTTTTGCCTTTTTTTTTTTTTTTAGCAAAAAACACATTATAGATGGGTAAATAAAATGTCTGAAGTCAGCATCTAGTCTCCTGTCTGCCCCAGGTTTGGGGGCCCCCGGGCTCTTTGGTAAGAAGCTGGGAGCTTGACACTCACCAGGACACCACAAACCCCCAGGCTCTTTGGTAGGAAGCTGGCGCTTGACACTCACCCAGGACACCAGCCACAGCCACACTACTGGTGAAGGTGTAATTGAGCACGGGGGATCGTTCTGCCATCTCCCAGAAGTCAGAGAGATTCCTTCCTGCCAAATCACACCAGTAGGATGAAACCTGGAGTTCATCAGTCCTACTGAAGGCTCCCAGGGGATCTCCAAAGCTGCTGCTGCTCACCTGACCTCCCTGCCATCACGCAGATGAAGATGCAGTCTGAATCATTGGTCTGGCTCACTGTAAGAAGAACCCGCAGACCACGACTTAGACATGAGGCTGCAAGTCTTATTTGGGGTGAAAATTAGACTGCAAGGACCTGCTCAGGATGATGGAGGAGAGGAGACCCACTCTTTATTCTTGAGAAAACACTTGCTGTGCGACCTCTTTCTTTGCATTGGAAGGGGTAAAGGAGGAGAGGCATGGGGCAGTCTAACATACAGGCCGATGGTACAGCCTGTATGCAGTCCACTTCTGGTTATGACATCAACTCTGTTCTGGCTATGCACTATGCAAACCTGAGTCCTGCTTGACTCCTCTTGGACTCAGTTTACCCATCTCCATCTTCAAATTGGTAAAAGCTCAACCCCTTCATTTGCAATGCTTAACTGCTTAAATCTCTAGGTCTCCACACTGCTGATTGCCTAAATTGAGCTTATCTGCAGATACTAGGCAGCCTGGCCTATGGCAGGGCCTGGTATGGGGAAATCTGCTAGTTCTGATAATACTCCACAATGAAAGCCAGATCACACACTTGGGAGGCACTTTCAACATGAACGCACCTGAGAGGATGGAGGTGGACTTAAAGATCTCTGTGAGGTAGCTGGTCGAATTTCCAATGATATCCACCAGCAAGGCTGTGAAATCTGCAAGACAGATTGGGGAAGTTGGAATTTCTGATTTGGAGACTTAAGGGGAAACATATTACGTGTAGATATTTTCCAATAGATTTTACAAGTGTGATATGGGTCCATGAATTGAGGAATGGTAATCATAGGTGAAATTCTGATAAGCAGAAAACCTTAGGATCCCCTGTAGTTTTCTTATCCCCTTTCTCCTGCACTGCCCAATTCCCATCCCAACTCTGCTCATGCCACAGAGCTAGGCAGGGCTGTGGCAGTGAGTGGTGGCTTTTCTGGAACCCCCCCCCCCATCCCTTCTGGCACTTCACTCAATTATTTCAGAACACCATATCCATTGGAGGGTAATCAGGCACACACATATGTAAGGTAAACTTACAGCGCTGGAATTGGACAATGCAAAGGGTTATAAACTTCAGACTATCAAAAGAGAAAAGGCCCTTGATACATGCTCAGACGGGACCTCTTCTTTTGTTTGGAGGGCTGTAAAGGAAGCCTGGGAGGAATTTACAGCACTTAGGTTTATGGGATCTTGTAGAATTTTCTCTCTCAGCAACATTTGAATAGGACCTTTGCTTGACATGGTAAGCACCACACACCACTAAGATTTCCTAATATACTTCTGTGTGTGTGTCTCTGTGTGTGTGTGTGTGTGTGTGTGTGTGTGTGTGTGTGTGTGTGTTCATGAGCGTGCATGTGCATGTGTGCCAGTTCTTGGCTTGAACTCAGGGACTAGGTATTGTCCTTGAACTTTTTTCTCAAGGTTAGCACTCTACCACTTGAGCTGCAGCCCTGACTTTTTGATGGTTAATTGAAGATAAGAGTCTCAATGGACTTTCCTGCCTGGGCTGGCTTTGAACCACAATCCTCAAATCTCAGTCTCCTGTGTAGCTAGGAGTCACTGGCACCCAGCCTGATACACTTCTTGACAAGGGGCTTCCAGCTACATTTCTGTCCATCTATGGGTCTTTGGGATAAAAAAAAATCTTGGATTCTCCATCAGAAAAAGGGTCCTGCTGCAGGAGCCGTTTTTAAGCAGGTTTTTTTTTTTTTCAGAATAAAAAAGTATTAGGGATCACTGATGATTTCCCATTCTGCTTTGTATAAATGCTTTTTTAGCAATTAATCAGATTATGAGTTTAGACCAAAACAAGCTGGCCTGCAAACCCAGAACCAAGATCTTCAGGAATATGTACTAGGATAATCACTGGTTTGTGCAGTATGCCTAGAGTACCAGAAGGTAAGTATTGCTATCTGTGAGTCTGAGCCATGGTGTGATTTTGCTATGTCTGCATGGACACGTGATTAATTTCCTGGATAGAGAAACAGTAGTGCACCATGTGGCCGTAGACTCCCATCTGTGCCGAAAGTTGGCAACTGTGGGCATCTTCCTTCTACATCCATCTTGGAGAAATGGAAGACAGGCAGTGTCTCGTTACTTATTCCACCTATTTCCATCTACTTCTCAAATTTCTCCTTTGTTTATTAATTCATTTACCTAATAAATATTCATTGAGTATTTGCTGTGTGCCAGACATCTGCTAGGTTCTGGGGAGTTGGGAAAACATACAGAAGAAGCTACATTGATGGAAAATCAAGACTCATTAACAGGCTAATAAAATGCAAGGCTTGAATGCACTCTTCAGACTGCATAGAAGGTATGAGAAAGGCTGTGGAACTAGACACCAAGAACTCGGTCCAGGTTCTGCCCCTCGAGATTCGGAGAGTCCTATAGGGTGGTAGAATGTATACGTAAGCCAAAGCATCCTTTCTTCCCAATGTTCCTACAGCCATTCCTTCAACATGTTGCTTGCCAACCCCTCCCCCACTTCGTGAACCCGCTTTTCAGATCTGTCTAATAGGCTGGGAAGAAATAAAGTGATCATTATTTCAAAGGTATTCTTTTTTGATGGCAATTTCATGATCTAATTTACTATAGTACCCATAGATGAATTATTTCTGAATACCTTTAGATATAAGGTAGGAAAATGATTTTAGACTGTCTTCTTAATACCCAGTTTTCGCAAGGGTGTGGACAGATGCATTCAAACATTGTTAATAAAGGTATAAACATATGCAAGATTTCTAGAAGAAATTTTAGTGATTTGAATCACCACAAGATTATTTCCTTGTCTGCCAACAATTCTGTTTCAAGGGCTTTATCCTACTGAGATAATTGGACAAGCACTCCTACTGATTTTGTACAGGTGTTCCTCACAGCATTGTTTATAGTTTGAAAAGTACCCAGAATAAACTACATTTCCATCAAGAGGAGACAAATTAAAAAAACCATGGTACCATCTTTCCATGAATACCATCTATTCATATAATAGATGAGGCATACTTGGTTTGGACATACTCTCCCAAAATTCTTTAGTAAGAGAACATCAAATTTTAGTTGCAGGCAGAGTGATTTAACATAATTTTGCTATATTTGCCTAAGTGGGTGTGGCCATGTTGCTAAATTTCAAACAATGTAAAAGAGAGAAATACAAACATCTCTATACTATAAGTTTGTAACAAATGAGAATTTTTCCCAGTCCTTTTGCCCTTTTCTCATGACCAGATGTAGATATGGTGAAAAACATTATTCACACCAAAAACAAAAGGCAACCTATTGTGAAAGGCAGAGCAACAAGCTAGAAGGATCCTGGGCCCCCAAAGCATCAAATGTTCCAAGGGGCCTTGGTATATCTGCATATACTGTCACACATAAACACATTTAACTTCTTTAAGCTATCCTGTCTAGTGGTTACTTATTATTGTAGGCCAGCTCATAGTTGCAGTAATGTAGAGAATAGTTCTGTGTGTGGAGTAGGATAGACAGCTACATGGGTAGATAGTGGAGTAAATGGGTACTTTAGAAAAGTATGTTAAATGACAGGCAGGATGGATTGATGGGTTATAGATAATGTTGATCAAGATGTGAATAACAGCTGGGCACTGGTGCCCCATGCCTGTAATCCTAGCTACTCAGGTGGCTAGGATCAGGGAATTGCAGTTTGGAGTTAGCTCAGGCGGAAAGGTCTGTGAGACTCTTATCTCCAGTTAACCAGCAAAAATCCAGAATGGAGGTGTCAGTCAAATGATAGAGCACCAGCACTTTGAAAGCCAAGGGAGAGCACAAGGTCCTGACTCCAGTACCAGAACCAAAAGTATATTTTTAATGTGACTAATGATAACCTATGAATATTGTGATAGCAGGTGTTTCTGGCTCCTTTATTATATTTTTCCATGTTCTCTCCTGACTCCAGTACCAGAACCAAAAGTATATTTTTAATGCGACTAATGATAACCTATGAATATTGTGATAGCAGGTGTTTCTGGCTCCTTTATTATATTTTTTCCATGTTCTCTGGAAATTTGCTATCACAGTATATTGTGTTTTAAGTTATTTTTTAGGGAAAATATATGTGAAAATAAGCTTTCAAAGGCAGGTTATATGTTAGAGTTGATAATACTCAGAAGAAAATAATCCAGATCTAATCATTTAATTATAACCAAGACATCTTTCCCAAAGTTCCGATCAATGGAAAAATATAGACCCAAATATTATTGAATGAGCGGTCAGTATGAGTGGGTCAGTAGAAGTAATTTTCACTTCTATTACTGAGAATTACATACATGTAAGGAGCAAATACTTCTAGGTTTTCATTATATAAGTAACATATGAATACAATGACATTGAAAAATATCCAGATATTATAAGGCCATATTAATAAATAAATGCTCACCAGTTTCTAAGGACACACTCCAGTCTTCTTTTCACAGGTAATAGCCTATATGGTGTCCAGTCTTGTGTAGTTTCATCAAAGACATATTCTGAGTATTATTTTAAAACTATTTTTCCTGAATAAAATTTTTGGGGAATTTTTCCATACATGGGAAAAAGTGTGGCCATACTCAATGTGCATTGTCTGTAGCTCTTTTCCAAAGTTGACTATATAATTGACTGTTTCCATAGTGACATAAATTTAAGTTCTTTCCTAATCTTGCAGTTAAAATAACAGTGCAAGAATATAAGGTTCAGTGTGTGCTCAGCTGTTTCTCTATAGTAAAACAGAAAAGGAATTATGTGGGACAATGAATGTTCCCCCTCTTAAATGCAATAGGTGTTTCCTATCTTATTGTGGGGAAAAATATATCTAAACGAGTAGAAGCAAGCTTGGAAAAACTACAAAGTTGAAGCTCAGCTCCACCCACCTGACAAGTCATTGGTACGGTTGTTTAAGCAGTAGCAGTACCTGGTGGGAAACGTGGCAGGGTCCACTGTCTTGGGATTGGAGACTGTGAAAAGAAATGACTCATTCAGAGATCCTGACCCTAAGGCCGCCCCCCCCCCCCCACCTGATTCCCCACAGGCAGTCAGGCAGAACTCACTGTTGTAGATAGCGATGGAAACCTTGTGAAAGGCGAAGGAACTGTAGGATGTAACTGTTAGCAAGGAGAAGAACTTCTTGCTCTCTGCAGAAAGAGAAGGAGATGAAGAAACAGCCAAATGTCTGCCAGAATAGTAGTAAAGAAACAGTACCATCAACAAACATAGCAGAGATCAATAGCGTAATCAGCCAAGATTTAAAAACACACACAATAACACAACAAAAACAAAACCAATAACCAAAGGAAAGCACACAAATCTGCCCCAGCAGTGGGTGTCACCTGGCTCTGTGACCTGCTGAGAGCTCGGAACCTCTAGGGACAAGAGTCCTGGGTATATTCGTTTCCTGGGCCTGCTGTAATACCATTTCACATACTTGGTGGATTAAGCAACAGGAACAGATGTTCTCACAGCTCTACAGGCAATAAGTCTTTGGAGACAGGTATGCCCTGGATTCTGAATTCTTTTAGCGGGTGTGTCAAGTTCCTTTCATTTGTATAAATTTGTGAACCTCTGGGATAGTGGCTGGAATGAATGATCCCAGATGCTTGGTGCATGTATGTCAGTCTGCAGTGGTGCCCACACGCCTGTAGCTCCCTAGGGAGCCATACATGGAGGAAAGCCCCGGATCTGGATTTTACAAGGTCCTTTGGAGAATGGAGGGTATGCCACAACACTTGAGTACCTTAACGCTCAGTTTTCTCCGGCCTTTCTGATCAGAAGAGTTACCAGTGGTACTTGATAAGGGCACATTTGGGCCCAACTAAGATCACTGGAAACAATCTCTAGGTGTCGAGTCTGGGGCTGGGTAGATAATAAGTGTACCACAGGCCTCTTGTCCCATAGACAGTTTCAAAGTCTCTGGGCTACATCTCAGGCATTGAGTTCCAACAAATGAGCCATGGGCGCGCCTTCGCAGCTCCCTGTGTGACATGGGAGTGAGGTCCTGCCAGGATTTGTGAGGCGCCGAGAGCGGAGCATCTTGGAGGCACAATCCGAAGCTTTCGGATCTGTCATATTTGGTAGAACCCAACAAAGGCCCCTGCAGAAGGCAGGATAGAATTGGAGAGAGCTCAGGAGTGCGACCCACCCCCCTCTGATGCCTCAGTTTCCCCAGAGTTCCCACAAAACTCCAGCATGCCAGGTTATCACAGACCTCCCCAGACTCTCCCATCAAGGGCAACTCTCATGTGAGCAAGGAGAGGGTAGGGGCCATAGCTCTGTGCCTACAGCTTCAAATGTGGAGACTGAGCTGGGATAAGGCCTCAGATGCCACTCCCTGCAGAAGTGACGGAGTAGGTTTAAAGCCAAAGTGCCCATTGTGCAATTATGGTTAAGGAATCCATTCACAAAGACCTTGGTATAGCTCAGTTTAGAATCAGAATCCTCTACTTACCTTATTCTGCACAGCACTTATCATATCTACTTTGCTTGGGCAAATGTGATTGTCCTGAGACAAGGATATTTTGCCAGCATTGTCCACTGTCTTACCCCCAATACTTACAAGTGTGAGTGCCTGGCACATGGTAGCTGTTCTATAAATATCTACTGACTAACGTGGAATATAAGTAGCCAAGGAAGAAAGGAATTCAATGAGGGATTTGCTTTGCTCTTATTTGGGAATTGTTCTACCCCCTGAACTTCAATCTTCTGATTTTGGTTATTATTGATTCATAATTGCCCAGTCACAAAGTACAAGCTATCTGTAAATTATTTTGCTAGAACCTAAAGTACATATATAATTTATTATAATCATTTCTAGAAAGAAACAATAGAAATAATATTGGAATAGTTGTTGGGATAATATTGTAAGCATTCATCACACCCCAAGGCAATGATGAAGGTGCACACACATAGAATGTGTGGAGTGCAGTCAGCTTCCAGGAGACTCACAGACCTTCTCCTTCATGGTGGGACAATGGATCCTTTCCTATGAACATGGGCTCATGGAGAGGCAGAGGAGCAATGTGTTTCTCCCAGGCCATACATAGTCCAGAAGGGAAGCTGGCACAGGAGAAGAATGATAGTGATACAAGTGGTTACCTTTCAAAGCTCGACTCAGCATCCCATTCACAAGCTCCGTCAGGTTGAGCGCAGACAGATCCACAGACTTGGCAGGGAGCTCTAAAGAACATACAAAGACAATGGCCCTGGTGTGCTTTTCTCTGCAACAGAAATAGTTGCTCATTTCTGAATTTTGAGCAGATAATCTATCTCTTGAGACATATATACTGAATATACACCAAAGTGCTAGGCCAGGGGTTTCATAACAAATGGCATTTTCTTCCAGGACCTCAGGAAGTGTATCTTTGATAGCCTGGATACAAATAATCCTGTGGGAAGTGTTCCCTCCATCCTGCAAATCCCGAAGACCTCACAGGTATTCTCAACATCCCTGAATTTGGAAACAAGTGCATTATGCAATAGATGTCATTGGTATCTACTGGGAAGATTTTGTTGTTGTTGTTGTTGGAATTGGGGTTTGAACCAGAGGCTCCTGCTTGCTAGACACATGCTCTTATCACATAGCCATACTCAGCTTTTTTTTTTATTGCACTGGTTATTTTGGGGACAGAATTTTGCTTTCCATCCAGACATGGGCTGGATTGTGATCCTCCTGTCTTATACCACCATTCTGTAGCCTAGATGACTGGCATATACCACCACTCCCAGCTTCTTCCACCGAGATGGAATCTTACAGACTTTTCTGCCCAGGCTGGCATGGAATGTAACTCTCCCCATCTCAGCCTGTTATGCATTCAGGATGACAGGTGTGCACCGCTAATATGTGGCTAAGGTTCCTTGTTGTTTATCTTTTTGGTGTCAATACTGGAGGTTGACTCAGGACCTTACTTGGCTCATTTGTTCATGGCTGGTGCGATTCTTCCAGTTCGAGCCTTTTGCTGGTTAATTGGAGATTTGTCTTTCTGCTCTCGCTTCAAACCATAATCCTAAAATCTCAGCCTCTTGAATAGCTAGGATTATAGATATAAGTCCCCAGTGCCCAGCTGAAGATTGTATTTAAAAATTTGTATTTCTGATCCTCAGACACTCAGATTTAATAGGCCCTGGATAGGACCCAGATGTCAGGGGGAAAAAAAGCCCCAAGATGCTGGTGTGCAGGCAGGTGGAGAGATCTGCAGTGTTAAAATCCCTCTTCTCCCAAGCATTCCTTGAGAACTTGGAAACAGCAGTTGCCCACATGGAAATACTGGTCAATAATTGTTTTTTCCAACTCTTACTGGATGTTCAGACAATAATTACAGAGATGTCATTATGTATATTGTAAGGACTGGAAACAGAAGTGAGAAACTTTTCTGAGCATCTCAGACTCCCATAGCATGATGGAAATAAGTAAGCGACTCACCTGTGGTAGCAAGAAATGTCATCGCCTCTTCCTTCTTCTCTTCCTTAAGAACAGACACTGGGGAAGATAAGTTTTTATTAAGCAAACAAGAGTCTCCAGTCCCAGTCCCAGGAAGCTGGAGAAGCTTGGAGTTCTGCTGTAGCAACTCTTAGGCTCATCATCATGAGGCCAGTTAGAGACACTGATGGATACAGACCCCAGGATCTCCCACCTCCGGATTCTCATCTTCTTAGGCTTGGTATCGCTTAGAAGTCTGTGTGCTAATAAATAATTGTAGCATGGACAGGCTAGGGTATCCAACTCCTTAGCTAGGTCAAGAAACTGAGGCTCAAAGAGGAGAGGTAACTCGCCTCACTTGGCACCACTGAACAGTAATAGCAAAAAGCTCAAACCTGCTTCCTCTGAATTGTACAGGAATGCAGAGTAGCAGCCCTTTGAAAGCATAGGGACACTGGACTTCCAGTATCTAGATCTGTTGAACTTCCAGTCTATTATCTTCAGCTTGAAGAGGAGAAAGGGGAGGGGGAGGAGGAGGAAGAGAAGGAGAAGGAGGAGGGGGAGGAGGAGGAGGAGGAGGGAGAAGAAGAGGAGGAAGAAGTTTGTGTGTAATGACATGTGAGGAGTGTTCTGAGCACCTTTACAAGGACACTCACCTGGTCCAGCAGGATTGAGAAGGTCTCCTTGTGGAGGTGCCAGACCGGAGGATCCATGATTTGAATTAGAGGATGTCAAAACCACACTGTAGTTGGTTTTGGTTTTGTTTGCATGGACTATCTTTCATATGGGTGAGAAGATACCTTTTTATTTTTTACATTGTTATTATAAAGCTGATGTGCAGAGGGGTTACAGTTACATAAGTCAGATAATCTGTACATTTCTTTTTGGACAATGTCACCCCAGTTTTTCCCTCCCATCGTCACCCACAAGTTGTATAGTTTGTTTTCAACATAGTGTCTAATGAGTACCATTGCTGCATCTGTTTCCCCTGGGTCCCTCCACTGGAAGCTGTCTGATGTCCATTTGATAGATGGGAAAACGACGACACAGAGAGTGTAAGAAACATACCTGAGTAAGTCGGGATTTTGGGGCTGGCCTCCTTACCTGTTTCTCCAAGGACAGCTCCATCACTTCCCTTTTTAAAACCTTTATTTCCAGACACTAAAATAAAAGATCCCACCAGTGAAATAGGGTCCTGGAAGTACAACCTCACATGCTCAACAGCATCCTTAAAAATCTTCTTGTCCTATACATCCTTTGAAGAATGAGGAAAGTCAGACCTAGGAGCTCAGAAAAGGGCCTCAATTCCACAGCCAGGAGAGAAAGTAAGATAAAACAAAAACACAGGTACCTCAGCTCTCTGACCAGGTCATTTTATTTCATTTCCCTGTGTAAGAATATAGTGCCTGGTTCGTTTCATTAAATACAAGGTCTACCAGTGTCATGCATATGTTTATAGGGAGTTATTCTATTTTTACTGAACATATTGGTACAACTAGTGTTCTTTGGGAAAGAAAACCAGCTGATTTGGGAGACTATTTTAACTATATTTTTATATTATTTGTTATTTCAATTAGGTAAATACTCTAGCAAATTAAAAATAAATGTTAGGAAATAAAAGAGTAATTTCCATCTCCCCCCCCCCAAGAAAAAAATCACAAAAGAATAGAAAACAATAATACTGTTTGTTCATCAAAAACATTTAGGAAGAGGAATGTCATCCCTGTCTCTTCTCTTTTAGGTTGCAAGTTTTCAACATCTCCCTGAAGAGCCAATTCTACACCATCAGAAAAAAGAAAGGCTAAGACAGACAAAAGTATCATGAAGGCTGTGATGACAGGTAAAAATACTTCTCTGTGATAAATCATATCACTGACAGAACTTCACAGCCTCTGTGGATTCTATATCATTCTGAGAATTCAAGCATGCAACAAACCATAAAGAATGAGCAGCTCAACTAGGTGTTGGTGGCTCACACCTGTAATCCCAGCTCCTCAGGAGGCTGAGATCTGAGGATTGTGGTTCACAGCCAGCCTAGACATAAAAGTCCATGAGACTCTTATCTCCAATAAATTACTCTGAAAAAGCTGGAAGTGGTGCTGTGGCTCAAGTGTTAGAGCACTAGGTTGAGCAAAAGAAGCTCAGGGACAGAGCCTAGGCCAAGTTTAAGCACCAGGACCAGAAAAATAAAGGTTAAACAAAAGAATAAAAAGTTCATGAAACCATTACTACATCAGGGCATTAGATGAAGAGCTGGTCTCCCTTTGTGGTTGAAAAGGGAAGAAACTTGACCTGGCAAACAGATAGAAACTTGACCTGTCTGTTCACCTGCTCCAGGAAGGAAAGTCATTCCCTTTTCTTGCTTGTCTTCTCCTCTAGGGCCAGACAGTAAAGTGAAAACAAACAAACAAACAAACAAACACATTTCATCAGAGAAATTCTAACCCAAATTTGCCATCAGACAGAATTTAGTCCAAATAACCCAATTTATAGAGGAGAAAATTATGATCTTGAATTTTGATGTGATTTGCTTAAAAATCCCATATGTAGTTTGTTCATTCATTCATAAAATAGTTACTGAAGAAATATGATAATACTAGTTGTAAGGTCTGCACAGGGATACCTCCCTACTCCGCTAAGTTTCTGCCCAGTATCTGTTACCTAGGTAACTGGCAGACCTGGAAGCAGTCACCTTCCCCTCCTGTTAGGACATATCCTGGGGCACCTTTGGTCACATGCCTCCCATCTGACCCTAGGAGGGTCCCAGACTCTGAGGTCATGTCTGGATCCAGTGTGGCCATACTTTTCCCCACATGGCCACATTTCTTCCTGTCCCTGGCCTAGATCAGTCCTGGCCCGGGGTGGGTCACCCCTTTCCTTTTTAGCCACGCCTCTCCACCATGCACGGCAGGGGGCAGCAGTTCGGTAAATAAACTTCTTCTGCCCGAATAGGGCGTGGTATTCTCTTCATCTGCTACCTAATTGAAACCTACCTATTTAATATACCTTACATTAGTGATGGATAATGTTAACACCAGAGCTAGTGAGATATTGTACGTAAAGAGGAGGCAGACACAAAGAACTCAAGACCATGCTTACAAATATTCCTTAATACTTGGAGGGGAATTGCTAGGATGGGTGACAAGAAGCCTTGTATCGGTGATCCGGAAGCCTTTCCAGGCGAAGATCTGGGATCTGAGGGTGGATAATGCTTGTGTAGGATTTAGATGGCTGAGGGAGGGGTAGTCGCTGAGTAGGGGCCAGCACGTGTTCAAGACCTGTAGTGAGTTCAAGCATCTCTTGGAAGAGCTGACTGAAGGCCAAGGTGATGGAGCACTGAGGAGGAGGTGAGCTATTGCAGGGCCAGGTAGAGGTGAGGTGAGTGAGGTCCTGCGGAGCAGATACTCCAGGATACTACCTGAAGAGAAGGGTATCATTGAGTAAATGTGACACCATATGGAAGAAGAATCATAGAGGAACGCAAGGATGTGTGTAATGAGGTTTACAAAAGATCACTCATGTTGATGGTGAAGAGTGAATCACGAGGAGATAAGAGGAGAGGAAGGGAGATGGGCTAGTAAGTTTCCTCAGTGGTTCAGGAAGGAGAAGATGGTGGTCTGTGTAGGATGGTGACGTGAAGGTGAGCAGCCTTCTGTTGCATGAGTGGGACTCAAGCAAAGAATGCCTAAGGGAAAGAACTCCAGGAGTGGTATTTATGATTACAATTTTGATCAGACTAACTTTGGGTTGTGGCTTAAAATGTTGGCCACCATGATTCTCAAAGCCCAGTGGAGATCCAAATTTACATAGAGAGCAGACTTCTGTAGAACTGACAGCCCCACCTGCATTTGAGAGGGTCAGGACACACGCGAGGCCCACAAACAACCTCACCGGAGGACCATGCACCGGCAAACGTAGCATGCTGCGATATTCTGGCGACCTGGAAGCAAACAAACCAATGTTGGAACCAGCCCCGTTATTAGTATAGGAATATATTCTGCACATTGACGCATCAATGTGTGGAATATATTTGAGGACAATGTATGGGGATTCATTAGAATTAGTGAATCCTTTAATTCTTTGGAGTTAATGGCTTTGTACTTGTGAAGATAGGTAAGGTTATATGGTGATAAGAAGTTAACCCCATAATTTCTCTGGCTGAATGAAGGTTGCCTCTTTACAGTCCATTCTTCTGAGTTTAAACAATTTGATAGAGCTCACTTCACGCAGTCAGTAGATGTTCTAGTTAGTTCTAGTAGTTACTTTTTAGTTCTCCACCTGGAAGCCTAGTAGCTGAAGCCCGCTTATCCACTGATTCATTATGGTGGTGGGAAGAGAAGAGTTGGAGGGGCTCACAGCAATTCTTGAGTACTTTTACACTAGCCTATGCCAGACAAGGTAGCAGGAAACCTGAGAATGTGGCAGAGGGCAGCATTTAGAGAACACAGAAATCCTTGGGTTTTCTTCTCCTTCCATGTCTTTTCTGGCAGGACTGGGAGTTGAATTTATACTTCCTGTATAAGCACTTATCCACTCGATCTTTGTTCCTAGTTCTTTTGCTTCAATTATATTTCCAGACAAGGCCTTGCATTTTGATCAGAGCCAGCCTGGGACCATGATTCTACTACCTATGGCCTCCCATGCACTCGGCTGGCTACTTTGTTGAGGTGACCCTGCTAACTTTTTGTCTGGGCTAAAGCCAAATTGTGATTCTCCCAACCTCTATATCCCACACAGCTGAGATTATAGATGTGAACTACCATGCTCAAACTCTTCCTTGAATTTCCTGAGTGGATGAGAAATATCCTCCAAATACCATCTCTACACATAAAGAGGGAAATGGCTATTACCAACTGTGAGTGGTTTTTCACCATCTTTTTCAATCTCTGTAGTGCCAGCTATCCCCTTAGGAATTTGTCATGTAAAAACCAGCAATGCTGGTTAAACATGCAAAGCTGAGACTAAGAGAATAATGGTGAATACTTACTGAGTACTTTTTGTTTATTCCATGCCACGCAGAATGCTCTTGATACATATTACTACATGATAACAATGCAATCTCTGTGTGAAAATATTAATGCAATTTCCATGCAACATGCAAGGTACACACACTTGAGATGAAAAATGTAGAAATTTCCTATTGGAAGATTATGAGGGCAAAAAATATTCCAAGAATTTACCATCTTCATGGAAAATTGCATTTGAAAGATTTGCCCTATTAGGAAAGGAAAATCCCTGTGAAAATTTCTCTTGATGCATCCCAACAAATACTGAATTGTTTTTTAGTTATTCGTAGGCATCTCACTAGTGTTTCTTCCCCACATTTCCCTAGACACAGACACATCTTATGAGAAAGAAGAGATTGGGCTTTCTTGGAGTTTCATTTTTTTTTAATTTGTTACTTTTGGAATTTCAGTTTTTATCATCTCTAAAATGGAGATCAGTGATTCTTGCTAGCAGAGTTTGGTGAGGATTTAAGACAGTGTATCGGAAGCATTCCATCTACTATCTTCACTAGTATATGGTGACATTCAGTACAAATAGCCCGTGTCTTAGTTTTGTGCTGCTGTAAAAGACTACATCAACTGGGTAATTCATGAACAATGTACATTTATTTCTCACAGTTAGTATCTGTTGTGGCCTTCTTCCTTCATCCTCATGTTATGGAAGACAGAAAGGCAAGAGAGAGTGAGCCCATTCCCAGGATCGATCTCCTTTTATAGTGGCAGGAATCCAGTGATGATGGCTGAGCCCTCCCAACCGGAACACATTCCCAAGGCCCCTACTCACAACACTGCTGTTTCTGATGCATGACTTTTTTTGGTAAATTGTCTTTAAGTAGTTGTACAAAGGAGTTGCCATTTAGCATCATGATTGATCTCACCCCTTTCATCATCCCCAACCCTATCCCTCCCTTCAATTGTTTTTCTAATTTGGTAGGATATGCCTATGTTTTATGACTGTATTCTCCCCTGCTTCTCATCCTTTGTCCGCCTACCTCTCCTTGACCTTTTCCCTCATCTTTCAAGTACCTGTATTCACTTTGTTGGACCATAAGTTAACCTTTCTAAGGAATTACACTGTTTGAATCATTGCCTGAAAAAAATCCATATTTTGTTCAATGAATTTGTGTGCACTTGCATAACATTCAAACTCTAGCACCAGGAACTGTGACAAAGGGATTTGCTTTATCATTGCCTTTTCCCTCCAATAGCTACTCACATGTAAATTCCAGGGTGCTAAGTTCCCCTCAAAGATATTCAAAGCAGTGAGGAGGGGGGGATTAAGAGAAGGGAAGGAGGGAAGGAGGCTGGCACATCTAAGGTTGGCATTTTCTCCAGCATAAGGCCACTGGCTATGGAAGTGAGCAAACAATATGGACAATAAATGAGCATGCTTTCATATAGTGCCTGATTGCTATACCAACATTACCTTTCTGAGCCTTGTAGATAAAATGGGCTGTCATTGCTACCTTGAAGATATTTTAAATGAAACCGTGCTGAGTCTGATCACTCCAATAGATACCTGGCTATCTTAATTCCTTTTTTCAGTCTCTTATCTTTTTTGTTCCTCCTCCTTCCCTACTTCTTTCTGTGTTGGTCCTGGGCTCAGTTTTGTAGCAGAGACACTTGGTGTGAACCTGTATTCAGTGGGAGTACAGAAAGCAGTTATCTGCATCTGTATTCTACACACACATTTCTTTCTTTGTTGATACCTGATTCATTACGTTGACCAGTATCTCCCACTTATTACAAGTAATCATATTAAACTTTATTATTACTTTATGACTATAGTTTCTGTGGATCTCTTTCATAGTGGAAAAAGCAATTTTCCTTCAGTTTGGGCTTGCATTGTTCTCAATCAATAGTGTGTTTGGAAGACGGTTGGCAGATTTAGCAAATCAAAACATAGGTCCTGGAGTTCAATTTGAATGTATATTGGTCAATATTTGAGACAACCCTGGTTTGGAGAGGAGACTGGTTTTGTTAAAGCATGTGAAAGTTCATATACACAGAGCAGCAGAATGGAATACTTCCAGCATTTCTAGCCTTGCAAACCTGGGCCTCTGTAGGACAGCATGGGACAGGGCAAGGAGCATGGGTTCAAAGTCATACAGACTTGGTTTGAATCCTGAGTTGGTCATCGGCTCAAATTGGACATTCACTCACTTGAAAGCCATACATGGCACTATTAAATTCAGTCATTGCAAATATGGGTTCTGGGGTCAGACTTGTTGGGTTTGCTTCCTAGTGCACTCCCATTGTTACTAAAACTCTCTGTCACTCATGGCTGGAGAGACACTGATAACTCAAGCTACACAAGAGAAAGATGTCACATGCATAAAACACAATGGACAACACCTGGCATAGAGCAAAGGCCATCTGGCTGTTTAACATATACTTAAAATGATGGCACTTAACACAAGAACTCAGCATTCCAACAAGCCATCCAGAAAGTGTTTTCCATGTGATAGACTTATAATCCTCAAAGTTATATCTTTGAAAAATTAGCCGTCCAAAATTTTACAAAAGCCAAATGACCCATATTGCATTGTATTCCTTATGGCTATTATTGGATAAAGCCTTGTTTCTTTAAAAACACTGCCTGAGCAACGAAGTATGTGCCTGTTACAATGGAAATGTACTGGAGAGGCGCTGAATAAATCACCCAGAAACATGCTGCTTTGGCACATGGATTATTTTGAGCTCTGAAGGCTTCTTAGGAATTGACAATAGAAGAAGAATCCCTCAAAGATAGAGGTTCCTCTGTCTAAGTCAATAACTTCCTAAGAAATGAAGACTGTCATAAATCCCGCCTGCTGGAGAGGTTTCATTGCCATAAAAATTTAGTGTTGCTGAGCTGGACCCTTATAGAAGCAAATCCTACTAAAGTGATCCTTACTTTCTGTGATTTTCCTATATACTTCACTTCCCACTACCTATAAGGGCTTCAAACTTTGCTCCTTGTCATACTACTTCTCTACAAATGTATTGGCCTTTCATTTGCTTGGTATATAAAATATAAACATCCAAGTCTGGCCTCTTTGGAGGACTTCCTTCCACTTCTGTTAGGCCTGCAATGAACATTTGAAACAAATAGTCTATTCCAGCTCATCTATCTTTGGTCAGTTCAGTTTCCATGGGGCCTCAGGCCACTCAATGGGGAGAAGAAATAGATTTTACTTTTTTCCACCTCAACAGAACAATTTACTGAGCTTCCCCCTTTTTGGGCATGATCTCTATTACTTTCCTTTCTCCAACATCTTGTTACAGAGAGTCAATGATAAACTGTGCTACACGAGAGAAAGAGCTAGGGATCAGAGTAGAGCCTCCAGCTCATAGCCATATAACTCCTAAATGATAGATCTGGGATGTGAACCAAGTCTGTGTCCATTTTTACCTTATTCTAATCTCTCCTTCCTGCAAAATACCGTCTAATAGTGTTGCAGGAAAGACTCCATACTGCAAACAACACAGCTGACTGCAAAGTCTCTTGTTGATGAGGGGGCTAGAGATCTAATGACACTGCCAGGGTAAGGAAAGCCCTGGCCTGACTGACAAGCTGAGAATCTGCCCAAGAGTCCTGTGGATTAATTCAACATCTGTCCTTGTTTTATCATCAACAACCCTGGAGCTGGGGATAAGAATGATGAGGACAAACCCTCAAGAGTCTTAATTAAACATCAAATTACTTGCAATTATAAAGGCTCCAAAAACATCTAACATTTAGTTTAACCTGACAAGAAAACCTGACTTTCTCACTTAACATTGGGATAAAGATGCCTAGACAGAAGCAGAATAACCAAGGAGTGGGGAAGAGAAAGTTCCACCAATATACCACCCACCTCTAAGCACTGCACGTTCTGAACTCATCATTCCAGAAGTTTCATTACCTTTCAAAGTGGGAAGGGAAGTACAGTG